GTATAAGAGACAGCCTGGAGCGCGGGGGGTCCCCAGCCCCGATGGGGGGTACCGGGAAATGCCTGGTGTAGGCCTTGAACCAAGAGCCGCCGCCTCTCAGCCCCTCGGGCAGGGCGGGTGTAACCCCCCAGCCCCCGGGGATGGGACACCAGTGCCCCCCCCCCGGGCGTTGGTCCTGGGGACACCTCGCACCCCGCCTTTCCCTGCAGCCCCCCGGCCCGCAGACGGCCCCAGGGGTTGGGGAACGGGCCCAGAAGCGGGGAGGGCCGGTGTGACTTTCTCCCCCAAGCTATGGGGGTCCGTGGGGCGAGTAGCAGCCCTCACCTGCCCGCCCGTCACCTGGGGAGCCGCCACATTTCAGGGGCTCCGGGGACAGCGGGAAGGGGGGACGCCAGCAGCAGGGCCCATGCTGGTGGGTAGAGCCATCCCGCTGGGTGCTCTAGGCCTGGGCTGGGGGCCGTGACACCCTGAAAAACGTCACCAAGTCGAACCCAGGGCCGAGGAAGGTGTGACGCTGCTGGGAGGGTGTGAACCTGGGTCCCAGCCCATGAGATCAGGCAGTGGGGCCAAAACCCACCACGCACCGGCTGCCCCCATGGCTCAGCCTCCTGCCGCCTCCCCACTGTGGGGCAGCACCAGCTCCTGCCCCAGGAGGGGGCCAGCAGGCTCGGGGTGACTCTTGCCTCCAGCTCCACAGGGCTGATGTCAGTCTCTCTCACAGCCTTAGGAGCAGAGAGGTGATCTGGGACTAAAATCCCCTCTTTTCTTCCCTTAGATCACAGCGCAGACTGGCTCCTGGCCTCACCAAGCCAAACTGGATTTCAACCGGTGATCTGTAAGGTGAGAGGCTGCATCGCCCCACTCTGTCTACAGGCTCTTCCAAGACCTCGGGGGGCCACCAAAACCACCTAAACTGCCATAGAAAAGGTTTTGTGTCTAATGGGATATTTGCCAGCAAATTCAAGCCACGAACACTATATATTTCTTTATTTGTAAAGGTGTTTGAAGTCCTTGAATTTACCCTTCGGCCACCTTAAATCTAGTTTCTAATCCCCAGCGCAGTTAATCAAATCCACAGTGGTTTGAATTATGAGATGTCTGGGGGGGATTTATAGCTTGTATTGCTGATTATACCTTGACTTTATTATATTGCAAATATCTAACTTATGGTCACGGCTGAGATTTACAATCCTTAGGTAGGTGCTTAGGATAACTTTTAGCAACTCCAGATGTAATTGGAGGTGACTGATGGGGCTGTCACCACAGATAAACATGTAATCTGTAAAACATTAAGACAGGGAAAGAAGAGGCAGAATAGGTGAAAGGGAGGGTCAGCCTTAAAAAAATAATAATATAATTGGGGGTATTGCTGAGCAAGGCTTCAGGATGCCTAGTCAGGCCAAGGCATCCCTGCTAGGAAGGGTTTTGGGGCTTGTTGGTCTTCAGAAAATACCCGGATTTAGATCTTTGTTCCTTCTTGCTCTCAGCTGAAGGTTTTTAGGGTTTGAGATAGCCCTGAGGAGGGGGAAGGGGTGATGAATAGAAACTGGGGTACTCACAGAGCTAACACCTGCCTCCCTGGTTCAGGGGGAGGCTTTGTGCCTGTGGCTCTTTCGGACCTAACTGGTGGTTTCTACCCTGTCTCGGAGGAGCAGCGAGTCCCGCGTGGGCACGTGCCCCTCGGCCAGCATGACCAGTGAGGTAGTGGAGAACGAGTTTGAGTTTTACTCTAAGGCAGAGAAATACTGGAAGGATGTGCCCGCCACGGTGGACGGCATGCTGGGGGGCTATGGCCACATCTCCAGCATCGACATCAACAGCTCCAGGAAGTTCCTGCAGAGGTTTCTGCGGGTAGGTGGCACAGTCTGTCATGCTCCCAAAGCCCCATCCTTCTCCCAGCACAGAGCTGGGTTCTTCCCTCCAAGCTGCTCCGTGGGATCATCCATTGCCTGCGTGCTGGGAAGAGCTTTGCCCTGCAATGGGTCCCCTTTAGCCTGGCTGCATCCTGCATGGTTGCCCCATTTGTCCTCTGTGGGTACCTCACAGTGGGATTCAGCACCTCATGGTTGTTGTTCCAGGACGGTCCCAACCGGACAGGGACAACCCGTGCTCTGGACTGCGGGGCGGGCATTGGCCGGATCACCAAGCGGCTGCTGCTGCCCCTCTTCAAGACGGTGGACATGGTGGACGTGACAGAGGACTTCCTCACCAAGGCCAAAAGCTACCTGGGAGAGGAGGGTAGGCGGGTGCGCAACTACTTCTGCTGCGGCCTCCAGGACTTCAGCCCCGAGCCCAACTCCTATGATGTCATCTGGATCCAGTGGGTCATTGGTGAGGGTCCCTTAGTTTGCGGGGTCTCACCAGCCTGTCCTCTTGTCCCGCTTTGCTCGAGGGGCAGGTGCCCCATGTGCTTGGGAGAGCTTTGGGGAGAGCAGCTTGAGGTCTGCATGAAGGATGAGCATCACAGCATGGCTGGGGGCCTGAGTTGGGGACCTACCCCCTCATCCATGCCCCATGGAGGAGCACTCCGAGGGCACTGTACTGTGGAGTCTTTTCCCCCAAGCCCTCTGAGGCTGAGGCAGAGGTGTTGGTTGGATGGAGTTGGATAGAGCCCGGGGGATACAAGTTGGACATCCCCAAGCCAAATCTTTCACCTTCAAATGGCTCAATTATTTGGCTGCTGGATCAGGAGGGATCCCAAGCACAGCCTCCTGCTCTCCTCCCCTCTTCCCACCCCTGTCAGGCCCTGCCCTCTAACCTCCTCTGCTCTGCTCTTCCAGGACATCTCACTGACAACCACCTCTCCGACTTCCTGAAGCGGTGCCGCGCTGGCCTGCGGCCCAACGGCATCGTGGTCATCAAGGACAACATGGCTCAAGAGGGCGTGATCATGGATGATGTGGACAGCAGCGTCTGCCGGGACCTGGACGTGGTCCGGAAGATCATCCGCCGGGCTGGGCTGCACCTCCTGGCTGAGGAGCGCCAGGAGAACTTCCCTGACGAGATCTACCACGTCTACACCTTCGCCATGAGATGAGGGCGGCGGGAGAAGGTCTCTCCATGGCCAGCTCGGAGCACGGGCCAGCACGGTGGTTCCTGCCGGGGCCGGGAAGACCGTGCCTTCACCGTGGGGTGGCTGATGGCAGCGAGGGTGTCACAACTCCCTCTTCTCCAGGGCTGGTGTCAAGGACGGGGCTTTGTCTTCCGAGTTGCTGCTGTTTGTGAAAAAGAGGTGTTTGCCAAATACATTTTCCTGCTGTTGCATTTCTGCACGTGGGCTTTGTCAGACACCGCATTGGCTTGATGCGCTTTTGGGGGCTTTGTACAGGAGCAGGAGGGTTCCCCCTGCAAGAGGCAGCTCTGGGCCCTGGCAGGTGGCTGACTGCAGTCACAGGGCTCCCTTTAGTGAATGGAGCTCAGAGCACCTCTCTGAGGGGCCAGGCTCCCTTCCTTGCTTGGGTGTTTGACCCTTTCCTGCTCTTGAACTTGCTGCTGCTGACAGCAATGAGCAAGTAAGGCAAATGGGAGAAATCTGCACCAGGTTCTGGCACTTTGTAGGGGCCTTGCCTTAAACCCACAAGCACGTTTCCCACACGTGCAGCAAAAAAGGAGGTGGATGTAATCCTGGGTCCCCAGCACCTCCAGCTCAAACGCTGTGACCCTACAGCTGCTCCCCCAGCTCCATCACCCAGCTCTGAATGCTCCCCCATCTCCTCCTTAGCCATATCCACATTGTTTTGCCCAAGTGTGGCCACTGGCTTGTGCCAAACTAACCCAACACAGCTTGGCCACCACTGACACAGCTGGTTGCCACATGGGTGAGCCCACACGATTCCCCCCATCCCTGCAGAGCCCTCTCCTCCACTCTGTCTCTCCTGCAGAAGAAACAAGCCCCTTGTCATTATTATAAAAGGCCGCCTTTAATTGCTCGTTTCCCATTCCAGACACCAGGGGAGTATTTGATCACATTATCTTTTTTTTTTTTTTTTTTTAAACATCAATTCATCAGGACACACAGCTCCAGTTCCACAGAGTGTGAGAAGGGAACACTCGGATGCTGCCAGGAGGGCAGAGGGGGGAGACAACCCTTCTGCAGCCAAACTGCCAGCGGATCCCAGATCCATCTGCTGTAAACTGTACCTGTGCAGAGTAGATTTTTCATCCTCTTCTGCATCTGTCCCCCATGACAAACAACAAAACAAACCAACAAAAACGCGGGGGGCTCAGCTCTGCGGCCAGTCTTTGGCACATCCTGAGGAAGCAGATGCCTAGAAGGGCGAGCCAGATGGCAGTGGCAAGGCTGGGACATGGGACCTCCCTGTGCAGCCCCAGTTTGTAGATTCCATTAGCAGGTTGGAAAGAATCCCAAGTCCTGGTGCAACTTCTTGTTCCTGGAAGGAGGCACCAGAGACCACAGTCCTGGGGGCAGTCAGCAAGGGGAAGAGCCAAGTTCAGGGAGGGAGGCCCAAGGCACTCAGCAGTTAGCCACCCGTGCCTTGTCCTTGCCCAGGGAATGCACCACAAAGCTGAGAAATATCCATTTGTCAGTTTTGGAGCTCAGCACCTCCGAGATGTCCTTGATCCTCAGAGCTGGGAGGATGGGGTGCAGAAACTCAGAGGGTGTGGAGCAGCTGGTCATCGCTGCCAGCCCCGTTTCCCCACACCCCACCCGCGGTTCCAAAGCCCACGCGAGTGAGGAGGGTGTCTGCATGGAGATGCCAGACCTCCACCAGGAAACCAGGACACAGATGCCAGAGCTCTCCTGGCACAGGAAACATCTCCCAGCACCCCAAGGCATCTCACCTCCACCAGTCAACCTAAGGCACTGCTTCACCGCCCGGGACCCGCAGGGCTGGAGAGAGAGGGGGGACAAGCTGCTTCTCCAGCCCTACCACCCCACGTGTCCTGCCCGCCAGGTTTTTTCTTCAAAAATCCACCACAAACCAGCCCTTTGCCCCAGCATCTGTCTCCCCAGTGCCCTGGGGCTCTCTTCACCCCAGGAAGCCACAGAGCTCTGCCCACCTCCCAGAACTTTGGGGGGCATTGTGCCCAAAAAAGCACACACCCCACCCCCCAAAAAAACCACAGCAGAGAGGGACACTGTGGGCAGCACAGGCCAAGCCGTGGGCACGTGCATGGGCAGCAACACCTCTTGCTGTGGAGAAAACTGGCCCAGAGCAGAGATTTGGCAGCTGTAGGCACACCGTGACCACGGAGGGGGCACACAGGGAGGCATCAGTCAGGCTCAGTGGTCCTCGTGCCCAGCAGCGGTGTGGTCAATGAGGAGATACCACTTCAGCCTGTCCGGAAGAGGTAGAGCCTTGATTTTAACATCTACTGGCCACGGTTTAAGGTGCTGCCGGATAAACACCCTGCAGAGATGTTTCAATGCCTGTGGGGAGCGTTCCAGCTGCTTCAGAGAGCAGAAAAGAGTCCTGATCTTCTCCCCGTGGTACCTACAGCTGCTGGTGTTGACCTCAAAGTTGCTGGGCAGCTGGATGGCTTGTGAACTGGCCATCATGAGCTCCAGCAGAGTCTGACCCTTCTGGATGAGGTCTGTAGAGAAGCTGTCATCTTCAGAAACACTGAGGTGCGAGCAGAGGCACTCGAAGACAATGTGGAAGCCTGACCAGCACGAGGGACCGTGTAGGGAGCAGTTGTAGGCAGCACCTGACTCCAGCAAGAAGCGTAGCAGTGGGAAGTGGCGTTTGAAGCTTTTGAAGCAGAGGTGGGTGAGGGACTCAGGGGCCGGGCACTCGCTGGGGTTGGCGCCGTGAGCTAGCAGCAGCTGTGTGACACAGAAGCAGAAGCGACTGATAACCTGTGCCTCCTCAGTGTTGCTGCACACCATTTCTCCCAGCAGGAAGATGACATAGGTGAAGACAGTGTCACCGTCTTTGGTGGTGGCCCTGACGTCTGCACCTGGAGGAAGGGACAGAGAACAGAACTGGCATTGCAGACAGCGAGGCCAGGACAGCACTAACTCTGGCACTGCTGGGCTTTACAGAATCACAGATTCATGCAGGTTGGAAAAGCCTCTGAAGCTCCTCCAGTCCAACCATGAACCTCACACTGACTGTTCCCAACCCCACCAGATCCCTCAGCGCTGGCTCAGCCCGACTCTTCAACCCCTCCAGGGATCCCGGGGACTCCCCCCCTGCCCTGGGCAGCCCATTCCAACGCCCAACAGCCCCTTCTACACAGAAATCCTTCCTCAGAGCCAGCCTGACCCTGCCCTGGGCAGCTTGAGGCCATTCCCTCTGGGCCTGGCACTGGGGCCTTGGCTCCAGAGACTCATCCCCCCTCTCTGCCCCCTCCTGGCAGGGAGTTGCAGAGGGCCAGGAGGTCTCCCCTACTCTTCAACAGACTAAACCCCCCCAGTTCCCTCAGCCGCTCCCCAGCAGACCTGTGCTCCAGACCCTGCCCCAGCTCCGTTGCCCTTCTCTGGACATGCTTGAATCATTCAATGGCCTTTTTGGGGTGAGGGGCCCAAAATCGAACACAGTAATCAAGGTGCGGCCTCAGCAGTGCCGAGTACAGGGGTAAAATCACTTCCCTGTCCCCCTGCTGGGCACACTATTTCTGACACAAACCAGTATACCATTGGCCTTCTTGGCCACCTGGGCACACTGCTGGAACATAAACAATGGGAACATAATGGAGTGGGAGGGCAGTGCCCGGTGCTGTACACAATCAGCCAGCACTAGGCCTGGAATGATTGCACATGGAGAGGGGAGAAGGTTGCCCTCACCTCCTTCCAGCAGGAGGCGGATGCTCTCGGTGTTGTGGATCTGGACGCCGTCACTGCTGGCCAGGGCGTGCAACAGCGCTGTCTTTCCTGCAGTGGAGCAGTCGGTCAGTCTGATGAAAATAGGGTGACACCCCAAAAAGGTAGGAAGGAAAACAAACCACCCCACCAACCAGATGGCCAAATGTGGGAAGAAACAACCCTTCTTCTGGCAGGCTTCCGCTGCCCCCGCAATGGCACAAAGCTGTGGGGCAGGGTCACAGGCCACACGTGCAGGGCTGGTGGTGGCCCCAGAGGGCACGTGTGCCACGGTACAGCGAGTTCTAGAGCACCACGAGGCTATGGAGGCACAGCCCCCTCCCATCTCCCATGGATGGCCAGGAGATGGTTTCAGCCCCTTTCTGCACCTGACACAGTCAGCATACAAGGAGAAAACACAGAGCAGCAGGGAGCTTTGGCAGCCCACACCCAACTTCCAAACCAGTCTGTAACTGCAGAGTGCTTGCAGCAGCAAGATGGAAGGACCTGGATCCCCTCCCCCGACTGCTGGGAGCACCCGGCCTGGGGCAGCTGGACGGGGCACACGGACCATTTTTATCCGCCCCGTTGACATCGGCCCCCAGCTGAAGCAGCCGCTGGAGGCACGGCAACCGCTCAGGCTCCTCGCTGGCCAGATCGAGGGGACTGCTCTCATGGATCTGCACAGAGCGAGAGGAAAAAAAAAACACTAGTAACTATTAAAGACTATTTGCGAGTGTCTCCGGAGTCTCTGCTGGGGCTTCATCCCACCCAACATAAAGTATACATGAACCCATCCCCAAAACTCAAAGTGATCCTTCCCCCATGTATCCGCAGGCAGAAGTTTGTATCCTCCAGCCTCCTCCCACCCATCAATCCACGGCAGAGGCAGGTTTGCTCAGCAACTTGAACTTCTGCCACAGCACTGGAGCACAACAGACAACAGGCCAAGGAGGTCGCCAAGGGGAAGCAGCATGCAGTAAAGACCGGGAGGTGGGGAGCAGGTAGGGCTGTCCCCACATGCCAGCCCCGTGCAGGGGAGGCTCACAGGGGCTCAGCTGGGCCAAGCCAAGGCCATACCCGGTCTCTCCGGTTGATGTCGGCCCCATGGTGCACCAGGAGCTCCACCATATCTGGCTGGTTGCGGAGCACTGCGATGTGCAGGGGGGTGTAGTAGGTGACTGGATCTGAGGACAAAAACACAGAGTCAGAGAGAAATAAGGGCTTCCCCACAACAACCCCACTACCCACCAAAAGTGGAAGGGGGCAGCTGGGGAGGGCCCTGAGAATGCTCATAAAACCAGGACTGTCACAGACACCCCACGTCCTGCTTTTGCAATGACTCCATCACTAGCAAAAGCCCTCAAAGCTGCAAACTGGCCCCTAAGCCCCTGGCCAACCTCCACTCCATCCTTGCGGCTGGGTCTGGACAAGGGCTGCCATAAGGTCACACTCGCAGAGCAAGGAGTGGGGGTCAGAGCTGGCAGCATCCCCTCTTTCTGCCCCAGCTATCACAGCACCCCCGGGCAGCTTCGTCCTGGCCAAGCCCAGTCCCCTTCCCACCAGCCTCACCTTCAAAGCTGAGGTCAGCTCCGAACTCCAGGAGGATTTCCGCAGCGGGGACAAGCCCCAGCTCAGTGACCTTCAGCAGGGCATAGCTCACACCTTCCTGATAAAATGGGGAGTGGGTCTCCCTCTCCAAGACTCGTCTCACAGCCGAGAGCTGGCTCCTGTCACTGCCCAGACAGGCAGGGCTTAAGACACACAAAACCAACCAGTTACTCAGTTGAACGGCACAAATCTCAGGGTGTGCAGAGACCAAAGTAGCACCCTTTTTGTCTTGTAACCACCCCATCTTTAACCTGTTGGCTGTGGGGTTATGCCACAGCATCAGGGCACAGCTGAACCTCAGTTTAGGTATTATTGCCATGGGTGAGGCAAAAAGGGCTGTTCCTGAAGAGCACATGTAGCCCCTGTGTTTGCTCTGCTCCACCCCGACGTGCCTAAAGAGCAGCAAGAAGAGGGTCTGTGGGATGAGCTTCTCACCAGGACTGGGGTTTGTTCCCAGCCAGTGCTGTGTCATCAACCACGTCCCCAAGCTCCAGCCATCACCCCCTAAAACACCATGTGGGCGTTCAGCCCCAGAGAACCACTCACAGCCCCATCTAGTTACCTCTCAAGGGTGCTCTGCTGTTCCGCATCCTGTATCGCCAGCAACCCTAAGATCTCGTCTACCAGGGGCTGATACTCAAAGATGATCCTGCGGAAGCCGTGCAGGAAAGGCATCGTGCTCTGCTCCACACACAGACCACCCAGGGGCCTGCAGCATGGCAGTGGTGTCCTCCCTGACGCACGGCTCTGGTGGGCAGACCCTGGCGCTGCCTGGTTTCCGAAGCTCTTTTCCCTCCTTTTAAAACAAACAAGCCTTTCTAGCAGTTTTGCATTTAGAAAAAAAAAACAAAAAACAAACCAAACCCAACAGCTTTCTCCCTCCCTCTTTATATGTTTCTAAAAGGCAACAAAGACCAGCACAAGGGATCTTCTCCCACACACCACGGAGGTGTATTCAAATTATCTGCTGCACGCAGAGCCACAAACTGGAGTTATCTGGGTGCAGGGAGAAAACACACCAGGCGGAGCCCAGGCTCAGGGCAAACCCCATCTGCGGAGGCTCCGCCACAAGCCCCCACACTCTGGGGGTGCCAGGGGGAGAGCGGCCCGAGCAGAGAGGGACTCCGAGCGCTGTGGGGTGCCTGCGACCAGCAGACCCCTGCCCGGAGACGGGGAGCAGGGCTGGAGCAGCCCCCACAGGACGCCGTGACCCCCACTGCGACCCACAGGAGCCAGCGCGGGAGCCACCAACCCCTCGGCGAGGGGACCGAGAGGTCCCTAAATCTCACTGCGCCCCACGGGGGGAAGCGCAGAGGCCCACAGACCCCCCAGCACCCCCGCGGGGGTAACGCC